TGGATATTTGACAATTGAGTATCTCTATCTCATATCACAAGTTTTGGTGACAGGTGGGTGGTACTGAATAGATAACATTTGTTAACTAAGTAAGCCTCAACCAGGAAGGGAACACAAATACTTATTTATTAATTATTAGTAATGCATGGGCATGAATAAAAGCCAAGAGTCAATGGTGTTGAGGTGAAAGGCCTGGCTTGACATTGCTTGCTAGTCAAACTGGTCTTGAGGTGATTTGGCTGCTGCATCTACTGGCGCTGGTGGCTCAGCAATGTCTTCATCAGTGGCACCTGGTTCTGACACTGACTCACAGGCAGCACCTGGAATGCAATGCAATGGAAGTTCAAGAGGTTGAAAGTCAAGGTGGTGAGTGATAGATTGGACTTATAAATATTCTGTTTGCCACTGTTGGCAGTCAGGTATATTATAGTAATATAGAATAACAAATATTAACAATACAATCATGTTCTTCATAAGGCAGGTTCAAAGTTTCAAGGTAGCATGAGAGACATTAGATTCTGTTTGCCACTGTTTGTCAGGTGACCCTTGTGCTGGGCCAGGAACCATGCATTAAGCCCAGTTTGCCAAAAAAGCCACAACAGGCAACACTGAACCTGTTCAGTAGGCAAAGCCCAGGCTCAGGCAGCCAAAGAAGCCAGACACCACAGGTTGTCAGCAGCATGCAACAGCCACAGCATGGGCAGCAGCAGCCAACAGCAACAGGCCAAGGATATGGCCAGGTCATTGCAGCCCAGCAGCCATCAGCAATTCCAGGCCCAGGCAACCAACATGGCCAACAACAAGTGTGGCAAGCCCAGCAACACCCCAATCAATACCCAGGCCAAGGCATGCATGGCCAACAACACTGGGGTGGAAACCAAGGGCAAGCTTTCAACACACCACCACATGGGCAGGGTAACCAGGCATCACAGGCACAAATGCAGCAGCAGCCACCCATCACTAACTACCAGGGTGGGCTCCATCAGTTGCAAAACCAGCAAACACCCAGTGGGCAGGGTGGGGTGCAGCAGGGGCAAACCCAGCAAACACCAGGTGGGGCCCAGCAGTGGCAAGTCCAGCAACCATTTGGCTTCCAGCAAATCCATCAACCACCAAATGGCCAGGGTGGAGGCCAGCAGGGACAAATGCAGCAGCCACCCAATGGTCAGGGTGGAGGCCAGCAGTGGCAACCAGCCCACCATGAGCAGCCACACCAGCAAGCCACTGGCCAGGGACTCCAGCAACCACCCAATGGGCAGGGTGGAGTCCAGCACGGGCAAATCCAGCAGCCATTGAATTGGCAAGGTGGAAGCCAGCAAGGGCAAATCCAGCACCAACCAAACCCTGGGCAAAGCAATGGTCATTCACAGCAGGTGCAAACCCAGCAGCCACCCAATGGACAGGGTGGAACCCAGCAGGTGCAAACCCAGCAGCCACCCAATGGACAGGGTGGAATCCAGCAGTGGCAAACCCACCAGCCACTCAATGGTCAGGGTGGTGGTTTCCAACAGGTGCAAGCCCAGCAGCCACTCAATGGGCAGGGTGGAACCCAGCAGCTGCAACACCAGCAGCAACCCAATGGCCAGGGTGGTGGTTTCCAGCAGGTGCAAGCCCAGCCACACAATGGACAGGGTGGCATCCATCAGCAGGTGCAAAATCAGCAGCCACCCAATGCACAGGGTGGAATGCAATTGCAAAACCAGCAACCACCCAATGGCCAGTGTGGTGG